ATCCACATAATTTCATAGCAGCGAGTGAGGAGTCCGGTTTCAGTGCATTACTGCTCCGATAAAGCAATAAGTCAGCACAGTGCGCTCAGATTAAAGCTCACAAAAGAAATGTGAATGTGTTAATTTTAGAAGTACAGGATGACTCATATGATAAGGTGGAATTCTATCCGTTTTTCAAATAGAATGGGTTTAATTAAATCAGAGTGATGTAAATAGAGTCACTCAGAGTGGTTTGATGTGAAGAGGTTCATTGTGGAGACACTTACTGATTCAGATTTCTCTACAGTGGTGGTGATGGGAACCAGGGGTCAGCATGTATACAACACAAATATAACCATTTTATTTACCATCCAAAATGACTGGTGAACCTGCACAATTTTGATGATGGTGAACTGAAAGAAAAAAACCTTTTGCCTTAGTAAGACCTGCATGAACCTCTCCACCATGCACATATTTAAAAAAGGTATGGTTTAGGCCCCAAGCATCTGAAAACTATCATATCTCAGGCATCAGGCAGCATATTTATAACCATTTCATTTGATAAATAAAAGAAATGTTAGATGTGTACAGATGATTCTATAATGACTGAGAAATAAAATGAATATCCATAATGATTTCACAGGTGGTGATGAGTTGACAAAAAGTATTGTCAATTATAATCACCATATACCATCAAGCATTTAATAACTTCCCAAAATGCACGCAATACTGAATAGAACATAAAATACTGTTTTTTAGCCTATTTAACCTGTATATCGCTGTTGTCGGAAGAAAACCTAGTATTTCCATTTTTGTCGTTTTCCAGTTTTTGACATAATTTGAAAATGCCTGTTGTCCTTTACATTTTGTGTAAATTTCATGAAAAAACGGCCCAAATGACTTGGAAAAAAGTCTGGTTCCATTGATTTTCATTGTAAATAAAGTAGGTTTTTTCCTTCTCCTGTAAAGTTACCATTTTGGAGATACGAGGTTTTCTTCCGACCACAGTGAAATATGGGTTATCATTAACTGTAACTAATAGTTATAACTGTATACACTGTTAGAAATAAAGGTACTGTACATGTACATTTTTTGTTCATCAAGGTACAAACAATGTAAATGTGCCCTCAAAGGTACAACAGTGGTTTTAAGGTCTGATTATGAACCTTAAATAAGTTTTTCCAGGTGAAAAGTTCGTATTTGGACCATTTCATAACCGAATGTTTTAAAACAGAACAATAAAATAAAAGCCTGGAGACGAGACGGGGTGTGTGGAGTCAGTACAACTTAGAAAATATAATTTCAATGGATTATGGTACAGTTATGTTCTCTGACTAAAGGTACAGAGATGAACCCTTGAGGGTACCACCCCAGTGACAAGAGGGGCACTGCTCCAGTGACAGTTTAGTACCTTATTTTTTCTGAGAGTGCATTGTTAAAATGATTCCAAACTATTGAACACTATTGTATGCATTCCTAAGCACTGTGCTTTATAACTGAAGAAGTGCTGCCCTCTCCAGGTGGCAGAAGGAATGGCCTACATTGAGCAAAAGAACTACATCCACCGGGACCTGAGGGCGGCTAACATTCTGGTGTCTGAGGAACTCATCTGCAAGATCGCTGACTTCGGCCTGGCCCGCCTCATCGAGAACAATGAATACACAGCCAGGGAAGGTAAGAGGACACGGCAAAATGCTCTTACGAATGATAAAAGTGACTCATGCACTATTAGAATTATAATACATCCGCCATTCATGTACTACAATCAATGGCATCGATGTACTACTACATCTACACTGGCCACTTTATCAGACAACCCTAATTTTACCGCCCCACCCCACAATTAGTGTTAACAATCTTGTAGCCTTTCATCAACAGTCACTTTCTAACCCTAGAGCTGCTCTTGGCTGGATATTCTCAGGAGTGGTCCACCACCCAAATAATATCTGGTCAACAGCAGTCCTGTGGTCAGAAAATCACCAGTGGTGAATGGGGTAGAGGGAGGCTGATACACTGTGCAGCAACACATGGGATACAGTCTGCAATTGTACACTTGTATAGTGGAGCTCAGTGAGTTACAGTACAAGTTAGTGTACTCAAAATGTACAAGGGGTATGCTGAGGAGCTTAACAGCTACGTCTACATGTGCAGGGGAGCATATAGATAATCTTGTATCTCCAAAAATAAAAATTAAAAAGACACAAGGTTTTGTACAGTGACAATATGTTATATAAAATAAACATACACCGATCAGGTATAACATTATCAGCTCCACTTACTATATAGGTGCACTTTGTAGTTCTACAATTACAGACTGTAGTCCATCTGTTTCTCTGCATACTTTGTTAGCCCCCTTTTACCCTGTTCTTCAGTGGTCAGGACCCCCATGGACCCTCACAAAGCAGGCACTATTTGGGTGCGGTTATTGAATACTATACTATACTGAATGTACTATACTGAATGTGCGGTTTGTGTGTTGTTACCCCAAAGGTGCCAAGTTTCCCATCAAATGGACGGCTCCTGAGGCCATAAACTACGGCACCTTCTCCATCAAATCAGACGTGTGGTCATTCGGAATCCTGCTGACTGAGATTGTGACTTACGGGAGAATCCCTTACCCAGGTACACACCATCAGTGCTGTTCATCAACTCAAATATGAATCCGTTGTTTCTGCTGTCAGTAAAGTGGAATAAGCCAATAAACCAATCAGCTGTTGAAGAATCTTAAACACTGGACTGTGCTGTGGCTCTCCAGTGTCCAAAAGTCTGTGAAAACATCCAGGAGGGGTCGCATTACTTTTTTTTTTTACCACATTGTATTTTTTCAAACAAGATCACGTCTTTATTCTCGAATATAAGTAAAACAAGACTAGACAAGCCTAGTTTTGGTGGACTGCTCTTCGCTGCATGGCATACGTGCCACACTGCAGGATACACCTTTACATTAGGGCTGCTCAGTTATGGCAAAAATCATAATCACAATTATTTTGGTCCATCTATGAAGGCAAATTCGTAATTGGAAAATGGCTAAATAATAGTGCCAAAATAGCCCAAACTCAAACATATAGTAGACCCAAGACTTTTTCAGTGAATGTGTTTTAAGCTTCCTTTCATTATTTGAATGTTAGCCCTACAGTATGTAGGTGGCACTGTCGCTTCATTTACTTTTGTGTATACTGGCACCTTCTGTTTGTCTCGTTTGCTCAACAATTTTGACAAGAGGTGCCAGTCAGGGACAGATCGGTCAGCAAGATAGGCTGGCCTATCATTTAATTTCCAAATGTGTCCACCTCAATCCATACCCCCTGAGCCAGTCAGGTGTTGGTCATTAAATGCATGTATAACAACACATTAGCCATTATATACTAAACATAGTCAGTATAAAGTTACACAGGGTAATTATAAAGTCTACATACAAACATCTTGAAGTACTTGCAGTGAAAGATGACCATTTTGTGCGACTATTCCTTTTCTTGGCCTCTCTAAGGAATGAGCAATCCAGAAGTGATCCAGAATTTAGAGAACGGATACCGAATGCCCCGCCCAGACAACTGCCCAGAGGACCTCTACGCCATCATGACCAAGTGCTGGACTGAAAACCCAGAGAACCGGCCCACCTTCGAGTACCTGCGCAGCGTGCTGGAGGACTTCTCCACTGCCACAGAGCGGCAGTACCAGGAGCAGCCCTGCTGAGGCCCCTCCACGGCCTTCCACTTCTAGGAACTCTTAGGACACCAGAGGATGCTGAAAGAAACAATGCTATCAATTTTTCCCTTCCTGAAATTCACTTCAATGGGACCATGTGTGCAGTGTATAAACTGGAGAGTGACGGAATGTTCTATAGAACTTGGCAGTGACAGTACGTCTGTGGGTGGGCGATATGGCGAAATGTTGTGATAAATCATGCCACAGTATGCTTTCATTAACAAGTCTCTTCCAACTTGTTAAACCTTAGAAAAACGAAATATCGAGATACTCAGGTATCGCAATATTCCATTTTGCCATATCGTCCCACCCACTAAGTATGTCAAAATTCACAATTACTTTTTAAGATATAAAATAGTTGCTATAATTCTGCACAACCATTATTAGATCCAACTTTTCAAGTAGCTTATACATGCTGAATGAACGCTTTTGTAAATGACATTCAAAGATGCATGTTTGCATTTGAAGTCTGGTTCATGTTTGCCGTGACTGTGCTATGAAACTTCCATCATGGATTTCTTGAGAAGCTTCTTCATAACTGTGTAGCTAAACTGTATGTTATAAAAAGCCTGGAAATCTGTAACGATGTGTGTATGGAACTTTGGGTATTTCCCTTTTCTTTAAAGCATTTTCTAGTCGTTTCTTCCGCAGTATGATTTTTCTAAGCTGTATTAAATTGCCTGACGTGTTAAAGTTTAAACTACAAATTTTCTGTTTGGTTTAGTTCTGTGTGTTTGTGCTGTTTCCATCTTGACCATTGCCAACTGGACCAATCTAAAGACTTGCCTCATTTTCTTAGCTCTCCAGTGACTGTTTAGCAACTGTTGCTAGCTACTATTCCATGTTGCATTATGGGAGCAGTATATCATGAACATAGCTCTTTCTGAATACTTGAATATTTGGAAAAATAAGAAAATGCGATGTGAATCATTTTGAAAAACAAGTCAATAAATGACTAAATACACCATAGTGATCATTAAAGCCAAGACCTCGGATTTAGATGTGGTAAATAAGGCACATCTCATGGGACGTCATAATCGGCTAATAATACAGCTATTAATAATACAGCTGTTGACAGCTAAATGACAGTTTTCATTATACTATTTTATATTAATTTAGCTGTCAACAGTTTCATTTTTATATTTTCTCAGAAGTCACAATCAAGCTTTTACTTTAAAATATAACTTCACTATGCAGTTCAAATCAGGATGAATGTGCGGTTTCAGCTTTTTATGTTCAGATCAGGAGCTTCATCGCTCACTGTATTTGTGCACGTTCCAAAAAACACATGACAAAGCTGGCGATCTATTAAATCATGTAGTCTTTATTAGATAATACAGCAAAATACAGGAAAACAAAATGTTTAACAATCTTCATGTTAACAAAATATTTATGATAATAAAAAATTATTAATAACTTTCTTTGGTCTACACATCAAACCTGTCAGAAGCAGGGTGCCTTACAATGTACTTTTTTGAATAAAACTGATTTGAACAGACAAACAACAAGAAGTAGTAACATAATGTAAGTGTAAAACAAATGTCCAATAAAAATTAAAATTAGTAAGAGATCACAGACAAATTAGGCAGAAAATAATCTCTTCATACCAAGAGAACATCAAGTTAAAACTACTGTAACTTTTTCTCCAATCTGTCTTTCCCCAAATATAGTGAAATATCTGTATCACTAAGATTCCCGTTCCACAGTGCTGATGCTCAGTGTCGTGCGCCAGTGAGTATGTTTACACATACAAATCAATCTGATAACTGGAAAATCACTAGGTTTACAAGAACATAAGAATGCTAATAATGGGAAAACTCACAGCCTGCATTAAAGGCGCAGTATGGAATTTTAATCCAATACACTTTGTCAAATTCGGCCAATGTCTCCTCGCGCTCCACTGGCTCTCTGTTCTGCGTGAGCACTGGAAAAAAATCTGGTGTTCATATACAGCCCTGGCTCTGTAAATGGAAAATAATCCGAGTGTCTCGGTCCGAGCCACACACCACAATTCCAGCCAGGGGGGAAGGGGAGGGTCTACGTGCTGAACTCTATGCATCGTGAAAAAGAGAAGATGGCCGAGAAACAGCCAAAGAGGAGAAGATCTGAAGTACAAAGATTGAGAAAGGAGTTTCTTGGATCAGGCAAGGGTGTTTCAGCAGTGGAAAGACCTCAGACAGTGGATGCATTTTCCAGTTCCACCTTAAATTCCATGTAACTGCTGCACCAATTAAGGTTGAACAGGAAAAAAAAAAAATCGAAAAAGAAGTTGAGGCACCTGAATATAGCCTAAGTGCTGCACCATTTAAGGTGGAATGGGAAAATTAGAACAAGAAACTAAGGCACCAGAATGTAAATGGTGCAAGACATAAGGTAGAATGGGAAAATTAGAAGAAGAAGCTGAGGCACCAGAACGTAAATAGTGCAGGAGTTAAGGTGGAATGGGAAAGTTCGAACAAGAAGCTGACTTCAGCTTCACTGAGAGTTTAAAGGCATGAAAAGGGACGAGGAGGCTGCTCTGTTTCTGCTTGACAGGTGGGTAACATTAACTCATTTTTGCTGTTTCACAGAACCAACAGGTCATTGCTGTTTTATCCTGTTTGTGATAGTAGTTTGTGATTAGCCTCGCAGCAGCAATTGTAGTGACAGTTTGCTAACCCACAACCAAGCTAACATTAGTTACATTACTTGCTGTGTGGTTGTTTGCTCTAACGTTATATCATGGTATTTGTCCATACGTTTGCCACAAAGGTCTAAAATAAACACGTTTGCCAGCCAAGTGTGTGCGTGTGAAATGGAGCTTCTGAAGAAGCACTGAAGGGAGGGGTGTATTTGTTTTGCTGTTGAGCTCAATATCAATAATCATTTTCCAGAATCGTACACTGTGCCTTTAATCACTAAATAATACGATTCCAGCATGCACCTTTTGAAACATGAAAAAATGTAAATTATCTGCCACTGCTGAATATGCTGAATAACTCAATTACTGGGTGAAAATAAAGGTGTCCTTATTGGATTTCATAAGGGTTTTAACCTGATCATGCTGTTTTCATGACCACTTTTGAATAACTGCTGAAATAGGATATGACTGTAATATTGTTGTGCATGTAAACATACCCAGTAACACTGTTACTGAATACCACTTTTATTAGTAAAAGCTGAAGCTTTTGGCTTCTGTATCCTTTTCAGTTTACACTCATTCATTGAATTTATTAGAGACTTCTACCCTGTAGCTCCAATACACAGGTGTACAATATAGATCTACTAGTTATAATGCAGGTGGTGGTCTATTCTCAGCACAGCAGTGACACTAACATGGCAGTGTGTGAGATGCTGGTACAAATGTATCAGACACAGCAGTGTCGCTGAGATGTCACTGCTAGGAGGAGAGTGATGTAGCAATAGTAATAGCTAACATTTAAAAAAAACAACAAAATAATACTATATAAAAAAAATTAATCAGTTGTCCAATCACTTGTCCATTTTAACAACTTTAAAGTAATGCTTTTGAACAACATTCGTAACCTTTTAAGACATGAAAATTTCCATAATGAGCTGTTCTCCTGCTGTGCGGTGCTAATGGAGCAAGATATCAACCTTTGTTTGTGTAATTCTATAGTTTCATTTCTTTCCACAGAACATTACATTCAGTCTTACATGTTTTGTTGTTTGAAAATATGTTAGCACATCCTTTACAGGGACTTTTTATTTTTCTACAAATTTTGGTACATAACTATTTGTGAGCTAAACATATTGGAAACAAATAAAATGTGCCATAACTTTTGCACAGGCCACTTTTTTTGGTAGGAGTTTGTTTTTTTGTAGAGCATGTGAACTTATTTTCAATTCAATCAACAAAATGTATCAACCAGGGGTTTTTCAAATTTTTGCACAAGACTATATAATATACATACCATTTTTTTCGGAGTAAATTTAAAACTCTCCTCTCCAATTTGCTGTTTTATTTTCCACGCATCCATTTTTCACAAGCTTGGGTGTCATGGAATACAGTGCTAAATTCTGTCAACAACATGAGCGGAAGACTCCATGCCAGATTTAAACCATTTTAAGGTAATAAATGTAGAGAGGAAAAATAAAATAAAGCGAAAAACTACAGCAGGGGGGGAAGCTGGGTAGTGGAATTGGGCTGTGAGAACCTTAACGTGAACGGTGAACCCGACCAGACCCCACAGTGAACAGCTGCGACCCATCAGGTTCAGAAACACATTTCCAGCTCCACCAAGAGCTGCTATGTAGTCAGAAACTGACCATTATTGAAGGGCTGGAAGACAAACTGTGCATCAGCAGATGAGCTACAGCCTCTAACTGTACACCAGCAAGGTGGAGCTACAAGCTAGAAGTTGCTAATCAAGAGGATGGTGAGCATGAATATACAAGTGGTCTGAGCCATTCTTATGATCAAGGATAATTTACTAATTATATATAATCTATTTATATATCGGGGACAACAGACATTAAATCAACCCATGTTGGCTGACTAGTCTAACACTGACTGGCTGCTAAGTGACTTACTCTTGGGAAAGTTTTCATGTTTTCAAATACACTATGGTATTTTTTAAAGTTTTTCTGAATTATCCTAGGCATAGTTACAGCTGCTAAGCTATGAAGGACATCTTGGAGAACCAATGTGCTACAGTGCCACCCTGAGGCAGACCAGTGCTGCATCACTAGTTATTTAAAAATATTAAAGACAGAAGCTCACTGTTTCAAGAGTGAAGCAGGTTAAACAATGACTTTTCCCTGAATTTGTATTTGAATGTCTATTTTTCCCTAACGGACAACATAACATCATAAGTTTATTTTCAGGGACCCCTAGAATTTTGATTTTGAACATTCAGGGGGTCCAGGGTGTTAATTAGGGACCTCCCCAGAATCCCCTGTATTTTGCACCTTGCTCACAGCCAATCACTGGTCTCCTCAGGGGATGTTGCTGCATGTAGAAGATCATGTTGCTCCGATGGCTCCCCCTCTTCTGGTCCATCGATGTGCGACACTGTTATGGGCGACGTTGGTACAGGCTCTGGTGTACGAAAGCGCACCTAAGATTATCAAATTCATGTTACAAAGGGCAAAGAACAGATTTAAAAACAAACACCACACATTTACAGCCACTGTAATAACAGCTTAAGGCTTCCAGAACATACAAGAGATCCTCATGTTGGTGAAAAATATGAACACAATTAAAAAATAGGATATACTGGGCCACATAGTATTTTCCCTGTTTAAATTGCAAGATTTACTCCATTATGGGGTCATTATTTTGGGAACTTTGTTAACCAAAGTAGTTCTATGTGTGGGCCCTATTACTGGGAGATCGCAAGCTCGGTACCCACTGATGCTACAGCCATCAGTGGTCCATAAGCCCATAAAAGCACAATTAGCCTTGCTCTCTGTGTGGGTAAGATGGCCCTTCCTTTCCTAATCACTAGGTAGCCAATGAGAGTGGCTGTCCACTGATGTATCAGAATTAGCAGTTTGTGTTCTCCTCCAGGCGTGTTGCTGTCCAATGATGCTGCATTCTGTTGGTGTTTTGTACTTTGTGCATAGTTTATTAGCTCCAGTGTTAATGAATTTCAGGGACTTGAACTTAAACTGTGCTTTCTAGTTCTTATGATTTTCTTATCAACAGCATTTTGGTGGCAAAAATTGTTCTGTGTATACAATTTTATTATTATGCAGAGACGCAAAGACATAACGACTAAAGACGGAAGTGATGTTTTACCCTGGAAGCGTTAACAGCTCTCTTTCTCCAGGGGCATCGCAGCCTCAGGAAGGCTGTGCAGGCCACAAAACAACGTCCAGAAAACACCACCTCCACCAAAGACATCACGATCAACAGCACCCACAGGATCAAAGTAGTCCCCTACAGGAAGAGATGAGAGGCAGCCCAGTCAGAGTGTATGATTTAAAAAAACAGAAAATAGTTAATGCATAAACACAAGCACCATGCTAACGAGCAGAAGCAGATTTTGTCTATTATCTTATTATTTTTATTAACTTTCTTTGTTTGACCTTTTGCACCATGTGTAGCAGTGCAGGCTGAAGCCCAGCTGCAGCATACTGTTTATGATAAGGCAGAATCAACAAGCAGCAAACTAACAAAAGCAACAGCAAAGTTCCCCTCAAGAGTCTCCACTGTAACAAGAATCTATGAGCTGTGCTGTGTGAACAAGAATTACACACACATACACACACACACACACACACACACACACACATATATATATATATATATATATATATGGAAATTGTGATTTTCATATTTGGGTTCATGTGAACCTAATGTGTCATATTTAAGTTTATAATAACATTATTTTAATGTCAAAAACAATGTTAATTGATTACTGTAAGTAATATATACATCCCTCACACAGCTATAACAAAACACACTGCTTTTTATATAAAGGAAGAAAAAAAATACTTTTTTTAAAGTCAAATTTGAGCAGATAGTGTAGGTAATGGTGATTAACCACATTATTTCGGCTAGTTAATCACAATTATTTATTTTATTTATTATAGCCAAGAAGCAATATAATCACAATATGCTACTTGGTACCTAACGTTCAGCCCTAGAGAGTATTAATGGAATACATTTACACAGAGTTATGCTGTATGTTGAAGTACTGCTTAATTGAATTCAAGTGCTAGAGTGATAATTAGTTCCAACTTCTTTTAAATGTTGTAAATGTGACTTTTTCCCCCCAAAGTGATGCTCAGTTCTAGCTATTAGTGATTAATGAGCCATACTGAAATTATGCTTGATAGTCTATTGATAGTCCAAGCTACACGTATGTAGGTCATATTCTCTCGTTACATTAAAACAAAGCATACCAGGAAAACCTCAAAACATAGGTGGCAATTTTTCATGAAAACAAAGACTGAACACATTGACAGTGTCACTGCAGGGAGAGCAGGCCTTCACTCACGTAGATGCGTGTGGGGTCAAACGGGCACTCGTTGGTGACGCGGTAGGTATTGTAGGCGCTGATGTTGCCTGGCAGGTTGCACTGTGTCAGCAGACTCATCCCACTGTTACTGATGGCTGTTACCATGGAGACAGTGACACTCACAGCAGAGGCGGAGCCAAAGAAGAATGCCAGGATGCTCATCACCAGTAACGACCACTTCTGAAGGGGGGGGGGACAACAAATGATGTGAGGAGATACATGAACAGCGTAACAGCACAGTCATCAACAATGACAACAACTTTATTACGTGGCATTTGGAGACTGACTCATGTCCCATCTTATCATTAAAGCAGCATCTTTAAACTGGAGAATCTAACTCTAAAAACTACTTCAGTATCTCTGTAGTATGTGAATAAGCATGTTTACCACAGATGTAGTGACGATTAAATTTTTAATTTTGGCCAGAGTGCCCATTTAAATCCAGTGTTTTGTGAAACATACCAATACTAGTACCAGTAAAAAAAGTGGATGCACTTGATTGTATGTTTTAAGATATTTTGATCTTAAGGTTTTAGCTTAAATGCTTAAAATAGAAATTTACAACAATTTTTAATGCACCCCCTTATTTATTTATTAATTTATTTACGAATGAACTTTAGGGAATTTTAGTGTTTGAAACTCAACTTTTATATTATGCTAATTATTACATATGCCAAGGTAAAAGCTAATTAGTGGGATGTCTGTCCTCGTTAATGTGTTTTTCTCTCTTTTCTGAAATACAATCAGTTCATATAGCATGTAAACACTGATAACAGTCATATATGAAAGCTAAACTGCAAAAATATCCTGTTTTAAATTCTTTGTTTTTGGTGTGTCACAAAAAGCAACACATTTACATCTCTGCCTATTCAGTCTACACCAGTTTAGCCCCTCTCATTCACACTGAACTATAAAGAGTGTTTCAGGCTGGCTGCTTTTTGAATGAGGTACAATACAGGGCAGCCAATCAGAACAGAGGTCACTATTCTTAAAGGCACAGTCTGTTTATTTCTAAGGGATAAAGAGAGGCTGGACGATAGTTAAGCAAAAAATGAATTATTTTTGTTAAAAAAAAATAATAATAATAAACAAATGCTGTAAGTGGACCTTGTGGAAAAAAATCTCCAAGAAAAATGTAGGATATTGATCCTAGAATAAATGGCTCTCCCAGTCAGAGGTCATGAGTATGAATAGCTTTCTCATGTCAAGTCAATGCAAGCCCAGGCACAATGCTGAATAATGCTGTGCACACACAAACATATCTACCAATGTGGCAAAATGAAAGACAGGAGAGACTTGTGATTAGAACAAACTGTACTCCTTTCTACAAAGAGAGAAAGAGACAGAGAGACAGAGATAGAGAGGGAGAGAGACTGAGAAAGTGACTATAAGTGACTATGAAGGGAACCCTTTTAAGTGACAGTACAAATGGTTTATGTGTACACTATGTGCCTCTGTGTGTTCCACTCACCAAGGGCTGGTTTTTCATGTTTTTAGAAAGTACAATGGCTGATATTCCACCAATAATTGCCTGCAGGTCCAAGCATGATGACCAAGAGCGAGGGAGATCACATGAGGAAATAAAACAAAGATTTGATGATTAGGAATATAATTTGATACATGAACAAACCTGTATGATATAGCATACGTTTACTACGGAAGGGTCCCCAGCCCTGAGAATTTCACACACTCTTCTAATCTGACTCATATAAACCAGCTAGTCAAGCTCCTTAGGATCCTTACTAGGTGAGTAAGATTAGGGTTGGTGCTAAACTCTGCAGATGGAGTAGTTGGGCTGATCTCTCTTAGAACAAACTCTGAACTCTTACTGACTATGGATTTTCATGGTCAACAAAAAAGCCTTATTTTAGTCGCTAAATAGTGCATTATTAAAAATACATTTTGGGTTACTAAATATCTATTTGTTAGTTACTTCAGATAATCAAATGTACAAATTAGTCAGAATGCACTTCCCTAGTCAAAGATTTTGCATTGGAGTCAAAAATTTTGCATTTAGGCATATGTAAATGCCTAAACACCCCCCATCAACTGACAATTTGTTGATTTTCTAGGTGATAAAAACATAAAACATTGACTACAAGGGACAAATTTACACCATTTCTATTTGCTGAGTTTTAAGCTGTACTATGTACGATTTTAAGATGCAGGCAACATGCAGAAGAACATTTTTTAATATTGGTTGTGCTCTGGATCCCTTACCTGAGAGGATGAATTTCTGTGAGTGAGTTGAAAGAGAATCCAAAGAGATTTCAGTCAAATTTTGAATTTTTCACCTCTTCTGACGATGTGAGTGAATTATCTACTATTGTCATCATATCTTTATGAGTATAATGTTGATTTGGATTTAAGACCTAAATATGAAGCCTTTTGAGCCTGTCTGTGTGAGGCTAATATTTAAAGATGTACCACATGGCCTGAAAAACTCCAGCAGAACCTAACCAAACACCTCTGATATTTCGATTATTAATTTCAGGCTTTATAGGGTGACTCGCAGCAATTTTGCTCTCTCCTGTGCCGAAAATGCCACTCTTATGAATTTTAACACTTACATAGTGCTGATTTAATATACTGCTAACTACATTACCTTTATAGCTCCAATGCAAAATCTTTGACTAGGGAAGTGCATTCTGACTAATTTCTACATTTGATTATCTGAAGACACTAACAAATAGATATTTAGTAACCCAAAATTTCTTTTCAATGTATTTTAAATGTTCAATTCTGAGGTCAATGCTCAATTCAATTTTTGATATTTTACGCTTTAATATGTCTTGACTCTACTAAAGCTTCGGTGACATAAACTTCCGTTACTTGTTATCTACATTTGCCTTGAAGCTCCAGTGCAAAATGAAAGATGTAAACTTCAGACACCAAACATGTCTTGGCTGATTGACTACATTTGGGGTAAGGGGGGAACTGTGTAAATCTGATTTTTCACTGAATTTTCCCTGTAAATGGAGCTTAGCTGAAAGCACACAGTTCTACGGGTACAATCGCCGGAGTGTGACTGGCCATAATGACATTTGTTACTATAGAGAGAGAGGATATTGGTCCATACCGTCAGTCCTGCCACTAGAGCGATGATGTTGGAGATGGCGTACTCTATAGTGGCAAACTGCGAGCTCACTTTCACATCTCTTAGCACAGCCCCTTGCATGAGTGCCCCCAGCAAGAAGTTCAAATGTCCTGCCAGCACCAGGCCCAAGCCCATCTTCATAAGGATCTTCTCATCCTTGAGACTTCTACAACACAGCCCTAAAGACAAAAAGGAAAATCATCTTACTGAGGCTGTCAGACCACTCTGAGTCGAGCACAGGGACCATTTAAGGTTTGAAAGCACCTGGGGTTCTTATTAAACACACACTAATGCAGGAGAAACAGATGCACTGATAAGTAATGACAAAGTCATCATTTATCATCAAATTTCATCCAGTGCAACACTGAGTAACAGCCCATCCTGCTAAAGTTCAGTAGTAGTTCCACAGACACAAACAGGACATGAAGCATTACAGCAGCAGATAAAGCTCAGACCTCCGAGCATTAAAACAAACTAAGAGCAACCATGAACTCTGATGTGAAAGAAAGTTTTGCCTATACATTTTCACAAAAACAACACTATTTAAACAAGGCAGCTTTTCTACTGTGTGAAAATTTAATGATGAATGAACTATGAGAAACTTACATTAGCTCTTCAAATTAAATTACATTAAAAGCTAAGAAAGTAGCTTTCTTGGAGATTAATGTTTTTTGGACAACTGATATTTCACATACCTTTTGTTTTAATTCTTGAAAATATCAATTTTTTTTTATCTTTTTTTTTTTTTAAACATAACTATTTTATTTACTATTCAAAACAACCAGCAAACTTACGTGTCTTCTGAGATTTTATATGTAATGTTAATAAAAAGTGAAACAGTGGTAAATAAACTATTTGTGTACTATTTTGCCTGTATGCACCTCTCTATCACGAAAGAATTTTAAAATTATGTAAAACTACTGTAAAACTATGTCTCAGGCATCAGGCAATGTATTGATCACCATGTAAAAAACCTTCTGTGAGGGAGGTTTCTGGTGCACTAAACGCTTTGGACGTCTGGTTCCTATCACCACCACTGTGGCCAATTCTGATTCAATAAGTTTCTCCAGAAAAGAATAATTTCACAAATGCATCAAACAACTATGAATAAATGAAAACTTTGTAAAGAACATTTAATAGACAAAACCCGACAATACGAGTATTCCTCTGAGAATCGGATCATTAAGCTCAACACCCTGAGGTGCTGCAGCAGGTAAAGGCAAGAGCACAATCAAGCACATAATTGCAGTGTCAACAAGGTAAAGATTATCCATGTGAACCCAAACAGCGGCTAAAATCTCTCACAGCGGGGACAGGAAAGAAAAGGGAAGAAAAACTAATATGGAAATCAGTGACTAGTCATTTCGGCTTTGCATGAAATATGTTGCTGTGCCACAAACAAATGAGTTTAATGTTTTACAACTGGTGTATGATATGATAAATGGAGCATACAATACAGTCTTCAATACAGTTTGTCCAAATCTACATATTTACTCCTTAAGGAGGTAACAAGTGTCAATGCAACCAAACCCAGATGTTATGTGCACAAAAATGAACACGTTTCTTAATTGATTTATGAAATATAACCAGAATTATGTCAGGGGCTAAATGTCCTACCTAGCATATTTGCAAAATTTAATAATATAGCCATGCAACAGGGAAATAGGCAACACAGAGGAGCCCTTAAAAACATAATACAAACTTCAGATTGGTCCAAAACAAACAGTCCAGATTTTTGTGTGTGGAGTTTGAATGTCTACATAATCTGAATCTTTTTTTTGCAAATGTTTGCCAAACCACATAGAAGAAACAACAACTCTGATTGTTGTAATCAAAGACGTTCAAGGGGGATTCCACCAATTTTTCAAAACTTTATGCATAATTTATTCATTGAGATGCAAAGAAAGAGTGGATTAATGTAAAATGATTAATTGCAGAGAAACAACTCTTTACAGTGGTGGTGACAGGAACAATGGGCCTCATTCACAAACCGTTCTTAAGAAGGAATTTCTTCTTATAACACACTTATGCAGTTTTCACAAAGGTTCTGACATTCACCAGTCTTTTCTTATTTGGGATTTGTTCTTAGGTAAGAACAGAATCTACACACTTAAGAGCACGAAGGTGCAAACAGTTCTGTGCTTTAACAACACATCGTGAATCTGACGTAGAGTTGTTCCTAGGATCTTTCTCAAGAACAAATTTAAGAAAAAAATTAGGAAGACATTGGTGAATGAAGCCCAATGTCTACAATACAAATATATGCATTTCATTTACTATTCAAAACGTACACGTGTCTTCTGAGTTTTTATATGCAATGCTGATGCTAGAACATTGTAAAATCTGGAACAAGTCTTCTTTGTGGATTATTTTCCCTTACAGCACCCTGCATGTACCTTTCTCCCATAAACGGATTTTAGAAAGCATATATTAAGCCAAAACCTTCTCAAAAAGATTATTAAAACACTTTCAGAAATCTGTATTCATCACCATTTCATGTGAGGGAGCCTTGAGAGGTATTAAACTCTTCAGACGTCTGGTTCCGATCACCACCACTGTAAACAGTTCCGACTCTGAACAGAGCATTTCACATCAAACCACTCCGAATGACTTTTGTTTACATTTTAACCTTTTTATTTTGCAGACTTTTTTAAAAAAATTGGTAGGATTCCCCTTTAAGGGAATAGCCTTACAGTGCTGACTGGGTGAGTTGGATGAGAACAGTGACTCTGTGTTATGAGGACGAGAAAAGCTGACAATCAGGTTCCAAGAGCCGTGACATCAAAACAGAGCAAGGAATGCTGGGATAGAGCGGTTGGAAAATGGAGCCATGAAGGGAAAAAACACCCAAGGACAAACGGAAACGGCGAACAAATAAAGGCCAGATTATCCTAATCATATGTATTTATCCATAAATGCCGCCTCAAACTGGGAACTCTTTTTGTGGAGTTTAATTAAATGCCCCAAAGACTGATAATCATATTTGTTTTAAGGGCATATGTTTTTGTTGTCCCATTCACGAAACGGGGACAAATGTGACAGACAAAAGCAGAGAAATAAAAAAAAACTACCCACAGGCAACACAAAGAGTCCTTTTTGGCTAATTTGGCTTGAAACACTCTCACTGAGTTTTTGACATTCGAGATAACTAAAATAAGCAATCCAATCTGTTAGACTGCTCTTCAAAAGCAACCAGCCAAAGCAGACTAAACTTTTTCCATTCAAAACCAACACCTGATAAATAAATAGTAGGATGAAGTGTCTGAGGTGCCCTCAAGTGATTTAAGGTCATTCAATATCTTTCCAAATCTGCCCATACAGAAATCTGACATATGGCAATATAAGGATTTCAAATACATGACATATATTAACACATTTACAGTGTCTTCTGTAAAGGCGTTGGTTCCATTTAGATCCATGACTTCTTTATGGAACCATTTCACGCTTAAATGGTTCTCTGCATGGTGAAATAGTTCTTCAGATTGATGGAGAATGTGTTGTATATGATTCTGTACAGTACCAAAAAGGGTTCAGCTATTTTTGCCAAGCTTATACCAATAGAAGAACCCTATCTGGTGGTACACAGAACCATTTTCAAAAAGGTTACATAAACATAGACCCATATAAAACACATTCTCAATCAATATGAAGAACCATTTCACCATGAAATGGTTCAATATAGAGCTCGTGGTTCTAAGCAGAGCCCTTTTTAAGAGTGTGGCTAACTACTATCACCATCTCACTGAAGTAACTGTGCTTTTACCTGAGGCTGGTTTGGGCTACTCTCCCCACCTCTGAACACCAACAAGGCTACTCCTCGTCTCAGTCGATATTTAGGTAGATTAGAGCCAGCCACTGTACTGAACAATCGTCTCATATTTTCTATATTTTCTCGACCGAGTTTAAGACTCAAGTCGCGCTTATTAAGCATTAGCCTACCACGCCTAAGCTGCCTGTTAGCACCGTTTCCACCTCCTGTATTTTTAACATGAAAAACTCGTTTCAGTACAAGTGAACTCACCCATTTTCACCACCTCCAAACGTTTACTCGAGTCACTTCTCAAGTCATTTTTAATCCTGGGAAGTCGGTCTAGGCTGTATTCGCGCTGTTGTGCCGCATAAAGCTCTACATTCCTCTTCCTTTCCGCCTACCTGAGTCTAGGGAGGATTGGAGGGCGCATCAGGTTGCAGCCACGCCTCCCGCCACTCATACCTGCACGCGCTTCCAGCCAGTTGTATGCATTACTATGGCCCAGTCCCATTTCTTCTTTTTACCCCTACCCCTTGTTTTCGAGTGTCACCCTAACCCCTTTGAACTGAGTTACAAGGGGTAGTGGTTGAAATCACGCCCTACGAAATGGGACCCTCAAATAAAAAAAAATAAATAAAACATTGCTTCATTAACAGCTACTTGCGCTGCTCTGCAGGCGACCCAGCCCGTCTCTAGTGACAGCAGAGGAGGGTAAAGTTCAGCTCCTCACCGCTGGGCTGTAGTTACATTTAGGGAAGCATGTGCTTTCAAAGGGGTGCAATTATTTACTATCACCCACCACTAATTCTTTGGTGATATGAAGCTGAAGTCAGATATTCGCCAGCTTCTTGTTCGAATTTTCCTGTTCCACCTTAAATGGTGCAGCAGTTACATTCTGGTGCTTCAGGCGTCAACAATGCTAGACTATTTAAGGTGGAATGGGAAGTTAGCTAGATAGCTACCGAAACAGCGGAACATGATGCTTGTCATGAAGAAAACTCCAATAATACATTGAAACGACATTAAACTAAGATAATACGATAGTTATTGTAATTTTTTAACGGAGAAAATTCTCACATTTGTGAGTTTCTTTGGTCGCTCGCGCAGCCATCTTGTTTTCTTGTCATCTTTTTTTCTGATAACACTCTGTTTGGAGTGTGCCTCTGAAAAATCTCCGTTTGGAGGGCCATGTAACCCTAACACTTCGCCCTACCCCTCCATCTCAACAAAAATCGGGACACCCTACCCCTAGACATGAACACGCAAAACAGAGGGCTAAGGGCTAAGTGGTAGGGGCGAGGGGTGAAATGGGACTGGGCCTAAATAGGACAGATGCTAACGTTATGACAGAACAACAGTTCTTAAACCTTTATTGCACTCAAGGGCAACAAATGCATTTTCCTCACTTTACCGTAACATTTAGCATATTTAAAAATAGCAATAGGGTTAACAATAAAGGGGGGAGTTTGAGTAGGTCAATAAAAAGCAAGTACTTGACCATACTATATCTTAGCGGGCGCATTTAGACCTCTTTTTAACATTCAGTATCAATTAATTTGTTATTAGACTTTTTAGAAAAAAAAAAATATTTGTTGCCTAGAAGCAACACTGTGCGACAGTGGAATGGATGTAGCCAGTCACACGCCAGGTCTCACCACTCCTACACACATTTTAAGGATAATTTTATTCAAGAAAAGCACCTTAGTTTTGTTAAACCTTTTTTTACCTCAGTAACGGTAGCTAACTTAGCTAGCTGTCTGGCTTACTAGCTAACTTGATTCATTCGATTACGTGTTTACGTTTCAGCTGTGCACTTATGGTCGGCTGCTAGGTAACAGGCACGACAGTTGATTGTCGACTTCAATCGAGTAGTTTGAGATTTCCTAACTTAAAAGTGGGAAAAAATACATACATAAGTTACATACATAATCTAAACCGCTTATCCTCCTGGGTCACAGTGGGGTGCTGGAGCCTATCCCAGCTGTCATTGGGCGGAAGGCAGGATACACCCTGGACAGGTCGCCAGTCCATCGCAGGGCAGGCAGACAGACAAACAGACAGACATACACATTCACACACACACACACACACAATTCAGCATGTCCAATAGGCCTGACTGCATGTTTTTGGACTGTGGGAGGAAACCAGAGTACCGGAGGAAACCCACGCAGACACGGGGAGAACAGGCAAACTCCACACAGAAATTACCCTGGTCGCATGGCCGGGAATCAAACCCATGCCCTTCTTGCTGTGAGGCGACAGCGCTACCCACTGCGCCACTGCGCCACCGTGCCGCCCTGGGAAAAAATACGAAAAACTAAATTATGTTTGGGAACTATTTAGCTTTACAACACCCTGCATATAACACTCAGCCATTCGTGGAACAAATTAAATGTATTAAAATTCATTTTAAGTCAAAATGGTATAATAAAACAATATGTCAGACGTCAGAGGGCATATAGATGCATTAAGCTCTTCAGACGTCTGGTTCCTATCGCCACCACTTCGAACAATTCTGTCTCTGTAAATTTCTTTAGAATGGAGTATTTCACACCAAACCACTCTGATTAACTTTGTTTACTTCTTAGCCAAGTCTGTAGAATTTTTTCCTTCAAGATAAGACAAGATGCTGTAAGATAAGATTTCTAAATTAAGACAAGATTTTCTTCTGTGATACAAAATTGTAAAACCAACTTATCTTGATCTGTCAGATCTTAAGACAAAAAGATAGGATGTTTCTGTAATGTGGCCCCTGGTTATCAGTTGATCCTCAAGAGTGTTAGGATTAAGGTTAGGCCCAGGATTAGAGTTAAGATGAAGGTGACTGCATCATTCTGGCCAGCTAATTAATTAGCCTTATGTGAAGTAATTCAGTGTGTTGAAGGAATGACAGAAATGACTGGGTTCTTCAGGCACGTGTAAACTAGGCCCGAACTCATATAAGCACAGAAATGCAGTGCAGGTGGGCTGAAGCCATTTTACTTCTACTAATTGAGTTAATGTGAACGGCTGCATGTCTGATCACATGATCATGCCTAGATGCTAATCATGTGACCACACTCTTATTTAAATAGGCAAAAAGCAAACTGTGCAGCACTTTGGTGGTACTTTTTGCTTTGAGTCAGATGAAGTTATCTTTCTAAAGATGGGAACGGCAGCATTTTGTGTGTCTTTCATATTAACTGCCTTAGCCTCGTCTGTCCACTCTGCATTGAATGATGTAGATGGACGCTCTGGCTTTTATTCGAATGCAGTTGTTCAGAATGTTTGGCCAGGCTTTACTATGCTCACTGGTGGCCATGGTGGGTTTTATGACAATAGCCAGTCTCCTAGCTTAAATGAGCTTGAATCTAGTTTTCCATTGCCTTTACCAGTCTGGGACTTCATGAACACAGGACCTAGCTTTGCTATCAAGGTCATGAACTGTAAGTATCTAAGCTAGCTTTTGTTAGCCTGAAACAAAACATGACTAATCTAAGTTAACTAGTATCTAGTACCTCATTCTGTATCTTTCTACCCTTAACTTTTGCTAGCATCTTGGAATGGTCTTGCTAAGGCTAATGTCTACCAAAGAGGAGAGCCAATTTACCTGAAAGTAACTTCAAGTGTACCTGGTCAAGAGCTTTATATTCATTCCTGCTATGTTGCCCCATCTCCAAACCCTGCTGATAAATCCAGATATGCCCTCATCTTGAACAAAGGGTGGGTAAAGCTCAATTATATGTACATTTTTATCTCTGATTGGCCTATTTAACTTGGTTGGTTTGTGTATCTGGCAGATGTGTGTCCTCCAAACAGTCTGTGTTAAAGTTCATCTCCAGACAGAGTGATGCAGTTAACTTAATTTTGGACACTTCCAATTTGAAGTTCTCAAAGGTGAGTTCTGTTGGGTTTTCTTAGTATTGTACAAATGGGGTGGTCAGCGAAGCTCTTGCCTTCAAAAGTTTTCCTAAAGCCTTAATCTGAGGTACCTGCCTCTAATGATCAAGTGCACCTGAAGACTTGTGTCCCAGTTATATACTGCACTAATATATTTGAAGAGCCAACAGCTGTTAGCTTTAACAACTATGTTTACATTACCTCAGTGTGAATTGGGTATAGGATCCTCCTTTTGGGTCAATTTATTGTTCAAATTGGTTCATGTTCCAGTGTGGCCTATAAAGCAAGATCACTTTAATACAAAACATCCATGCAGTGCTTTGTTGAACATACCAAACATACCTTACATTAGGATAGGTACATCATATCTTACAGCTGGGGTTCCTGGTCATGGGTTCTATACATTGTGCTGTTTCTCATCTAGCATACTTGCTTCATCTTATAAACGAAGCTCATGTACTGGGTTAGGTGTTGGAGTAGGATGGAAAAACCCATTAGCAAGGACTTCCCAGGACTGGGATTGGAAACCACTGGTTTAGTGTACAATTGGAAACCAGCATTTGACTGGTTTTCTTGTAATGTAGGAAACCAAACATCAGGAGGGTAACAAGAGATTTGCTGAGTTTTTGTGAGGTGACCACATGAGCGTATTTTTCAAAGCGGTTCAGATTTGTTACCATTCAGACTATTGGTAAGACCTGTGCACATGCAGTCCACATTTAAGTCTAACATCTGACATGGTGCTCAAATCTTTAGGTGATGCATGGTCATCTTTAGCAGGCTAAACATTCTCAACAGGGTGCTGTTAGCACTTGAATGCCTTTGGGGGTTTCATACGTGGAGCTCTATCAGGGAGTGTCCTCATTAATGATTACTTGTACCTTTTTTTTTTTTTAGGTTTATGTGCACTGTAGTGTGGTCCTCTCCAGTTTTGGGCTGACTTCAGACACCAAGTCTTGCAACTACATTAAGAGCAAATCCAGGTAAATGGTCACTTGAAATGAGTTTGTCCTCTGATGTTATAAAAAAAAAGGTGCCTTTACCTCACTTTCTTAAATATGGTACTGTGTTCCTAACCAACACATTCTGAGGGCTCCCAAGTGGTGCAACAATCTGTTGGCCCTATCTGGAGGTCGTGAATTTGATCCTTGGTGACGATGCAGCTGTCCATTGTTGGGAGTCCAAAAGGGAACAATTACCCTTGCTCTCTGGATGGGTAGGCTGGCCTCATCACTCGGTGTGAAGTTAGCCAGCATAGGGGTCTGTTGGCTGGTGTAACAGAACTGGCGGTTGGCACTTTACTCCTTGTGTTTAGCTGTTCAGTGATGTTATATTAGTGGCAGTTGAAAGATGCAGTGAGTGGCTCCACAGGTCTTGGAGGAAGCATACTAGCTATCACTCCTAGCGCTGGTAGTATTGTGATTGGGGGAGTCCTACCTAGTGGGTGGAATTGAATGACTGTTTTGGGGGTGGGGAAGAATCAAATGTTCTGTTGCTTTAGCTGCCTTAAGTCATGGCATGTAATCTGCACATTTGCCTTTCAGATGGATTGATCTGGGTGGCCAGACAGATGTATGTGACTGCTGTGCCACAAAATGCAGAGGAACTCCTTACTATGAGGGTCTGTTCAATGGTCAGTAGCAGTTAGTGGTCCACCTTTCTTCTAGAGATCTTCCTACAAAGTTTAGTTCCAACTGTAACTCTTAGCACCTGCCTCAACTAATTGTTTTAGGGGGCCTTTACATGCTGTATGACATGTTGGATTTGAGGCTAAACCTGAACAAAAGGTAGATCTCTAGAAGGGGGACTGGTGACCAAACCTGTGTATCCATGGTCACTTTAAATTAAAATGACTTCTTGCTTTTTCAGAGTTTAAAGCAATGGTAAGCACTGGTCCATTGACCATCAAGGAACAGGAACATGAGAAGCAGCTGTCTGTGTCAAACAGTACCTCAATCACTGCCCCCCAGATTGCAGCCTCAGCCACTTCTGCTAGAAAAGACTGGATCATGTCTGGAGCATCACCTTTTACTGGAAAAGGATGGATTGTATCTGGAGCTTCTGTGTCTGGCAGCTCTGTGCTCAAACACCCTCCCTTGAAGACCCAACCTCTAACTGGGGATTTGATCATAAGTCTAGAACTAGGTACTCCATCTTGGCTTCCAGGGCTTGTAGATGTTCAACCAAACCCAGTACTGGAGATGGGAATTGGTTATCCTAAGCAGAAGGGTAGAGCCAAAATTACTATGCTCAGTCAAAGCAGTGCTCCAGCTGAATCTTTCTGGGGGAAACCAGAAGCTGACTTTGAAGCAACGATGCAGAAAGAAGACCCATCAAAGATTTTTCCAGAGCTTGAATCTAGACATCAGGAACTTGCAAGTGTGGATAATGGTTATGTGGCTGATGCCCCAAGTTTGACAAATGGACACTTTGGAGACATACCTGAGCCAGTTTTGGGAGACTTCCATCAATCTAGTGAGGAACTGAGGGGTGATGTATTTACAAACTTCAGAGAGCCCCAGATGGAGAACATCCCTGAAATGGAGATCAATTCTCTACATGAAGTACCAAAAAGCAAGGTTTCTGAAGAGGTCCAAGACAAGGATGAAGTTCTGGTCCTCACACAGACGGAAATGTTCTTTAAGAAGGTTAAAGGAGATGTAGAAGGCAAGCCAGAATCTGTAAAGCGGTCCAAGCTGACCCTCACCCAGGCTTCAGATGGATCTAGTTTGCTCAGCTTTGAGGAACAGGAGAGGTCACCCACTGCAGGTGAAGAGGCAGTCAGGAAAGCCATGTTAGAGCTGAAACAGAACATGGTGGAAGAAAAGCTTGAAAGGTCAAAGAAACAAGATACAGAGAAGGAACTGGTGTCATCCCTGTTGGATATGTTGAGGTGAGGGAATTGTACTGCAAAGTACCCCTTCATATTTATTTCTTGTCCCAAATACTGTGGCATTTAGTTTATCCAACAACTTTCCAGGTATTCAGTGCTCTGCATAACCTTATTCACATGGTCATTTTGCTTATTTGAGGCCTGCTGTGTGAATGCTGGCCTACAAGAATACCACTGTGTTTTGTTCTCTCTCATGCCTAATTTCTGACATTGACCCTTCTTTCTCTTTAACTGCAGGGGATTGATTAAGATGCCATGACCTGTCCATGAACAAGAACTTCTCTACATCTTTAACCTAATGTGTGCAAATAAAGATGAAGTAAACTGAACATGAATTGATGTCTGAGCATGGTTTGTTTTGTATGATCACATTGAGGCAGTTTAAGGTTTTCCAATGGCTCCTTTTGGCTCATGGAGTGAATTCTGTGTCTTGGGGCTGGATATGTTTAGGGAGACAATCTGATCTTTTAGATATAGCCTCATCCTTGATCTTCACTAAGAAAAGCAAAGCTTAAATGTGGGTTTTCTGCTCAGTGGCTACCTGTGCTAGGCCTAGTGTTTCTTCTCAATCCCTCATCATTCCCATACCATCTTAAACATGGTGACAGGCTAGTAGTCATCTATAGATACTAGTTCATATAAGGTTGTAGTACATGACTAGATATAAATGTACAGGTTTTGTAGTGTGTTCAAATATTTATCAGTAAAACTTGTCTATATTTGACAGTACTATATCTAATGCTCAATGCATAATTTCCTATGTACAATGTTAGACTGCCCTTCATTGTCAATGGTCAACTTAGTGGGGGGGGGTGGCCAAGACATTTAACAAAAAATTACACAAGCTTCAACAAACTAAATGTATCAAATAACAGTACTGTGTCCACCTTTTGGCTTCATGGGCAGCCCTATCCACAGTGCCCAGGGAGCAGTTGGGGGTTAGGTGCCTTGCTCAAGGGCACTTCAGTCACATACTCTCAGCTCAGGGGATTGAACCAGTGACCTTCCAGTCACAAGGCTGGTTCTCTAAGTCTTAACTCGAGTTCAAAAATGCTCAAATATTAGTATTAAAATGTTTTATGCTGTTCTGTGTTGGGAAATGAATGCATTTCTATGTATAAAAGTGGTTAAGCATTTACAAACTATGATTTTGCTCAAGTGCTTTAATCCATTACAAGTACATTAATTCATTTATTTTGGGCTCGCTCGGGAGTGCCCTCTAACAGTAAACAAACCTGGAAGACATCCTACTCAACACACCTGGACCTGCTCCCTTTGTAGATATGAAGGGCTCATTCTAAGCTAATGGAAGCACAGTGATCAATAGTTATAGGTCATTATACACCAATGAAAACATGGTTTTGTATACTATATTTCATTTCTGCTAATAGATTCCCTTAAATCTTACACACCACACCTTCAGAATGGTTCTATATAGCACCAAAAAAGAGAGTTCTACTGTGGTTACAAATCATAGAACCCTTTTTGCTAAGAGTGCATATTGCCTTATACCCAGTTTTCATAGGGGCAAACTTTTCATTGGGTGAAAATCGGCAAGCGGTTTTTGCCTAAAATGACACCAGCGATTCAAGTTGCAACTACTAGTAAAAACTCAAATTTGAGAGCTCTGTAAAGCAGTTTCGACTAGTAAAAATAATTCCAGGTATCTGCTATGCAACTTTTACTAGTCATAATATAAAGTATACATATCTATAAAGCTACTTTGACTAGTCATATTGCCAGAATGAGATATCCATAATGTCATTTTGATTAGTCACGTCATCATTGATTTACATAGAATTTCATTCTGTCTTATCAAGGAGTGATGTCATAATGGAGATCTGTAATATTTTTTGTTAAAAAAAGATAAAAAGATATCTTTTGATACCTGTTCTTACAATTTGACTAGTAAAATAGTACGGAGCCCTGCTGGTGACATCCTGTATAAATAAAAATAGTACAAAATTAAATTACAGATATCTATAATTCTCATTCTTACTAGTCAGAATTGTATTTTGACTAGTTGGAATTGTGTTTTCTTTAATGACTATCGGTGGTGTCATTTTAGGATAAAACGGCTTGCCCTAGCACTAAATGCTGAACTAAATAAATGTGCAGTGCAGAGGAATTCTAGACCAGTGGTGTATTTTTCTGGGAACGTCCTGCTCGTATCTGCCCCCAGGGGGCGCAGTAGGAACCGCAGAGAAGCAGCTGTGAGTGTGCGCAGCTCCCTCTCCCTTTTACAGCACATGGATCAGACGTTTTCCTTTTTTTCCCCCTGTGCAGCGTATGTGTGTGCGCGAGACCCTGCTGGCTGCACTTATAAAGCTCCCATGCGTTTCCCACGCGCTCTCTTTCCCCGGCCACCCAACCGTGAGTGTGAAACTCACTCTTCTTTAGTATCTTAAAAAAAAAGAAAAAAAATTATAAAAACTACAAAATCCAGAAAACATCAATAAAAAAAATAAGCACCTCGCGGAAAAAAGGAAAACAACTTTTTTTTCAAAAACATTTTTTTCCAAACTTTTTTCCAAAGGAAAAAGAAAACAAACCAAAAGCAGGCCTCGGTGTTTGGCGACGAATTTTAATTTTTAATATTTTTAACTAAAAAACAAAAAAAGAAGCACCCAGTCCTCTTTAGCTGAAAGGCTGAATCTTTCTCCGCGTGCCGTTTTTCTTTTTCGCTCGTGCTCATTTATCGGGTTTCTCCGGAGGGAAACTTTTCCACCAGCGCCCCTCGCCGTGTACAGCTAAAGAGGGGAGCCGAGCTAAAGCTCCGCCGGCGCACTCTCTGTCTCTCTCTCTCTCTCTCTCTCTCTCTCGCTCACTCACTCATTCTCGCACAGCCGGGTCCTCTCGCTCCTCCGCCGCTCCGCTTTTCCACCGGACACCGAGGATTAGGAGCCATGAACGCGGCCACTGCGGGGAGCTACCCCATGGCCTCGCTGTATGTGGGCGACCTGCACCCGGACATCACGGAGGCCATGCTGTACGAGAAGTTCAGCCCGGCCGGCCCCGTGCTCTCCATCCGCGTGTGCAGGGACATGATCACGCGCCGCTCGCTCGGCTACGCCTACGTCAACTTCCAGCAGCCGGCGGACGGTATGTAAGCACGCGGGGACCGAGGCTGAAGTCGGCTTCCCATTCGCCAGCATCTTGTTCCAGTTTTCCCGTTCCACCTTAAATGAAGCAGAAGCAGCAGCAGCGGCATTGTTTCTGGAGTGTAGCTGCTGCACCATTTAAGGTGGACCTGGAAAATTGGAACAAGAAGCTGGCGAATTGCTCCGGGGAGCGTATGTATGGTTTGGTGGTTGGGAGCACATGTGTGTGGAGTGTCAGCTGGTTGTGGGTTGAGGAGGGGGGGTTGCTGCGGGCTGGTGTGTGTGCGCGCGCGTGTGCGTGCGTGCTGCTGGACATTTCAGTAGCCAACTGTAGTAGAGCACGTGCGAGTAACAGCATGCATGCATGTATTTATGCCTGTATTGACGTCTAACTAAATATATATGTATGTGTGTGTGTGTGTGTGTGTGTGTGTATAGTAAAGTATCAATATTTTAGTTAATTACAATATATATGTGTATACATTGGACTTAAGATAGTATTATTATTAATATTATTATTTCCAAAAACTTTAATACAGGTGATATCAATGTTATGTTATGATTAATATTTCTTATATAAAGTGATGTACATTATGGGGAAAAAATATAGATGTCATATATATGCATACGGTTATAAATGGAATAAAGTCCTTTTTCTATAAATTGGACAAAATATTTGTTATTGTAATACACAATATTATTTTATATACTATATATATGCTGTATAATATTGTTTGGTTCAATTAGTACTGTACAGTTATTATTGCTTTTTGTAATTATTATGTGCAAAAAAATGTGTAATAACAGCAACAGTAATAATTCTTAGTATTTATTTATTTGTTTTAAATATTTATTTTCTGAAACGAGGCTTTGTAAGTAAGTTATGGGCTCATTAATAGGACAAGCTGACAGCCAGTCCCCCAGGGGGCAATCTGACAGCCTACACATGCTCTGTTTACAAAGCTTTCATACCAAAACAAGTCACCCCCCTGTATGGTGTGGTTAACATGGCTGCAAATATGTGTCAATAGAATAAATTAGGAACTAATGTAATTTACATTTGTAAAGTTTAAACTTAAGTGAAATATGAGGGCCTCAGCTTGGGCAGTTGTTCTGTTAGCACCTCCTTTATGATGGCGTTCTTGACAAGGTTCACACTGCTGAGAGAAACGAGAAGACAGTGCAACAGTCACTCGCGTTTTAACTGATGGCTGTGTTCTCCCCAAAGATTCACTATAGCAGCATTGAGAATACGAATTTAGCCCCTAACCTTGACAAATCTTCAGCACAGTGATAAAGAATTAGATGGGAATTTGAACATGTGGTATTTGACCCACATAGACAAGGTGTCCTAGTTCTACCATATAACCAGAGTATCGGGGCATGTTGGAGTGGATGTTGGGGCTCACTGACACTGTGGCTACTCAGGGTTTAGTATTTAAAACAGATATATGTGCAGAAGCTGCAGTCGAAGGCCATCACGACGGCCCATATTTGGCAACCTGACGTGACCCATTTGCGCTATTTAAAGAGTCATCAAGGGAGAATGCTATCGTCAAATTAATATTTTTCTGCCTTTGCGACATGAAGAGAAGGCGCAAGAAATGAGTTCCGTAATGAATGACGTCTGAATCTGGTGCAGGTTCATTGCAGAGCTGAGAGGATGAAGGTGGCAGTTTGCATGATGGAAAAAGGTGCGACTCGCAGCTTGAAACGTGCCTTACCATGTCTCTCGGGTTAAGAGACACAACCCTTCTCTGAAAGCATCTCTGCTGAAAAAAAATCATAGAAACGGTTGGTTTCTGGTGGTGCCCTGTAGTCACTAAAGGTATTCAGTGTTTTCCTGATGGGTTACTTTCACAATGTAAAGGATTTTAATGGTTTAACAGGTGCTCTTGTGATTTTTAAATGAAGTGCTTGCAAAAATAAAGATTTTAATAAGGAACAGGGAGAAAAATCAAACTGGTAGTCAGCTACTTGTTATAATGCACTTACTATGCACTGGTTGTTGTGTACATGTCTTTTTATGATCTAGAAGTAATGAAAATACCCTTTATTATCACGCAGGAAAGCATGATAGAATGTATAATCAATTTTGTAGCCCACCCCAAGGTCTGTTTACCTCCAGATAACACATTTTCATATCTTAAGATTTTCTGACCTTTGTGTTATGTCACAAAACATGATTCTATGCAAATACTTGAGTTTGTAGGTTTGAAATCTGTCGA